GTTTTGCCAGTCTGGGCATCCTTGAAGCTACCACTGCTTTGATGGAGCCATACACAGTAGCTGCTTCTGCTGTCTAAACTACTAAAAGTGGTCTGATCCAACAGGGCTTTTGTAGAGTTCTTATGTAGGTGGTAATTCTAACTTTCCCAGACTTTCTCTCTCCTACTGGCAAACTTTCTGAAGGCAACCTATGTTTTGCTATTATCCCCCCATGCCTATAATTAAGCTCCTTCCCAGTACCAAAGTGCATACTGCCAGCACACAATGCCAACCCGCACTCTGGAATTTGGCCAGTCTGTACATCAGCTTGCTCGCACCTGCATGCCTTGGGTTCTCTGACACAGCCTCAATCCTTCGTTGGATGTATTCCCTGGATCAATGGAACTAGCAGCGATACGGCGGCAGAGCAGAGGCGACCCGTGGATACGGCGGCGATGGAGACCGGATGGAGGCGGCGTGACGGCGTGACGATGCAGCGCAGTGGAGCCTAAGGGACAAAAGCCGGAACTGCAATCGGGAGCTGCCGCGTGCTGGAGGAGTCCATAAGGAGCCTGCCGGGAGATGTCGTCAACCCGTCCTAAGGCGCCAGGAAGAAACAACGGAAGCCCGCCATGGAATACACCAGGACCGCGCCGCTCGGGTGTCGATAGGTAGCCCCTCCCCCAGTCGAATTGTGGCCCTAGGATAGGAACTAATTAGGCACTTAGGCCATATACCTGTAAACCGCCCAGAGACCCTCAGGTAAAGGACGGTATACAAATCGCAGATATATATAAATAAATAAATAAATAGACTGCCCCAGATAATTCCCTATTGCAGAAAAGGATAGGGAATGGTCCCACCCACCCCGTCTTCTTCTCTCCTCCGCCTCCCTGCTCTGATTCTCCAAGGTATGAACTGCTGTTTGGGGATAAATACTGGGTGGGTACCAGAACTGGCTGCTGGTTTGATGGGTAGTGTGGTATTTTGTGCTGAAATGTAGATGAAGAGGAGAAGAAGAGATTGGATTTACACCCCACCCTTATGGGTGGAAGAAGGGGATATTCGGGCCCCTTACCTGATCCGTAGTTTCCACAAGAGGTTCCCGGACAAACCGGGAGGTCTCCCGCCCAGCCCGGGAGATCTCCCGCCCGACCCGGGAGGTGTGTTGTAAGTGTATTTTAAGGGGGGCAGTATGTCAGCAAGCTGCCATTCTGTTTTCTGTGACCTCTGTGTACATATCCTTTCCCTGTTGCACCCGGCTTGTTTTCTATCATCCTGCTCCTGCGTTGGAATGCACAAGATAACTGCTGGAGGTTGTGTGGGGGAGAAGATGCTGTAATGCTCGCCTATTGCTTTTCTCATGAGTACTGCACCTGTGTTTTGTCTGATGTTCTGCCTGGTTCCCATGGACTGGGCGCGCAACCGTTTCATTAGCCCGCCAGCGGGAATGCTATTCATTGGATCTGTATCTGTTTGAATTTCCTTTATTATGCTTGACCTAACTGTGTATCCCCAGTTCTAACAAAGAACGTGTTTGAGTATGTCTTCAACGCTTTGAAATAAATTTTGCTTTTCTTGAAAACGTGGATTTATTCTCGATGCTTGGGGATCCAACATATTGTTAGAACTCTCTTTCTCCTATCGTTCCGAATCTGGCAAGATCATGAGCGGAACTGAGGGAAACCTACTTAACACGGAGTCCCACTTGTTAACAGTAATCTAGCGTCAAGATGAAGGAGGAGGAGATTTCCCTTCCCCTCCCCACAGCAGACACCCTGTGAGGTAGGTGGGGCTGAGAGAGTTCTTTCAAGAACTGCTCTTCCAAGGACAGCTCTGGAACAAGTTGTAACTGACCCCAGGTCACGCCAGCAGCTGCATGCGGAGGAGTGGGGAATCAAACCAGGTTCTCCCAAGTCCACACTCTTAACCACTACACCAAACTGGCATTCGAAGAAATGTTGGTAATAAGAGTGTACCAGGATAAACTAATTTTGCCAACATCATCATTTAACAACGCAGAATGAAGCTCCCGTTAATCTGAAAGGGGGGGGGGAATGTTTTCACCCAACTTCAACTTTACCAAACGGTGGGAACGAAGTGACGTTTTAAATATGCCAAGAATTACCTATTGTTAGTGCATTTCACAACACTGCCCCCCAAAAGCTAATCTAGAGAAGCAGCTGTACCTGTGAAATTATAGGGAGCTTGCTGTGATGAGTTATCCAGGGCTCTTTTTGTAGAAAAAGTCCAGCAGGAACTCATTAGCATAATAGGCCACACCCAACCGCAGGAACTCATTAGCATATTGGGCCACACCCCTGACAGCACAGCTCATTAGCACATTAGGCCGCACCCCCATGTAACCAGAAGTGTGGTTATCCAGCCATACCCACCTTTTGCTTCTTACTCTGTTTACCTTGCTTGTTGTCAAAACCCAGGGCTTTTTTGTAGCAGGAACTCCTTTGCATGTTAGGCCACACACCCCTAATGTAGCCAATCCTAATGAGTTTCTGCTGTTGGGTGTGGCCTAGTACCATTCTGTTTTCTGTGACCTCTGTGTACATATCCTTTCCCTGTTGCACCCGGCTTGTTTTCTATCATCCTGCTCCTGCGTTGGAATGCACAAGATAACTGCTGGAGGTTGTGTGGGGGAGAAGATGCTGTAATGCTCGCCTATTGCTTTTCTCATGAGTACTGCACCTGTGTTTTGTCTGATGTTCTGCCTGGTTCCCATGGACTGGGCGCGCAACCGTTTCATTAGCCCGCCAGCGGGAATGCTATTCATTGGATCTGTATCTGTTTGAATTTCCTTTATTATGCTTGACCTAACTGTGTATCCCCAGTTCTAACAAAGAACGTGTTTGAGTATGTCTTCAACGCTTTGAAATAAATTTTGCTTTTCTTGAAAACGTGGATTTATTCTCGATGCTTGGGGATCCAACACTCGCCCAAGGTCACACCAGCAGCTGCATGTGGAGGAGTGGGGAATCAAACCCAGTTTCCCCAGATTAGAATTCACAATCCTCACCACTACACCAAACTGGCTCTCATGGTCAGATCAGACCCTGTTGTGGTATCTTGCATAAATGCAAAAATCCCAAACCGAAACTCCACCAGTGGCCCAAACCTTCCAAATATATAAGCTCCAACTCACCCTTTGTTTTGTTGTTGGTAGGGAGGTGACACCTTTGGGGAGACGAGGACCACTGCTGTCCTCGTAGGTAAAGGTAAAGGTTCCCTTGCTCGAAAGCCAGTCGAGTCTGACTCTAGGGTTGCGATGCTCATCTCCGTTTCCAAGCCGAAGAGCCAGCGCTGTCCGAAGACGTTTCCGTCGTCATGTGGTCGGCATGACTAAACACCAAGGCGCAAGGAACGCTGTTACCTTCCCACCGAAGTGGTACCTATTTATCTACTTGCAATTTCTTGCTTTCGAACTGCTAGGTTGGCAGGAGCTGGAACTAGAGACAGGAGCTCACCCCGTCTTGCGGCACCCGGGTCTTGAACTGCTGAACTACTGACCTTCCACAGCCTGCAGTTCAGCGTCTTAACCACTTGAGCCACCGCTCTTAGAGAGACCCTCTAAGTGAGGCTGCCGTTCAATTTACTCCACTACGGACTGGACCCTAACCAAAGCCCCCAAGATACACCCCAGATTTGGGGTACTGCATCCAAGCCGAAGATCATTGCTATTTTCAGCACCTGCCACTCTCCCCTTTAGCCAAGTTAAGAGATGGAGAGAGATGATGGAGATTAGTCTGGGAAACAGTCTGAATGAGGGGAAATGGACTGACCCTGCCCCACCTGTACCCAAGCTCCCAGGCATACCCTTTGGCTTGTCTACATATAGGTTGTCCATATGTGTGTCTGCAGGGGTCCTTTCCTAGAAAAAGAGGTGCAGGGGCTCATTAGCATAACTCATTAGCATAACTTATTTGCATACGCCACACCCCCTGACGTCACCGGAAGTGTGTCAGAAGGCAACACCCACCACTCAGGCTCCACTGGACTGTTTTGGATTGCTAGC